GATACTGCGCATGCAAATTACAATAGAACTACGTTCCTATTTCATGAAAAGCTTGATAGGGCATTGAAGGGTTCAAAGGGGGTAAGATAGGGAATAAAGGGGTTTAGAGGGGGGATGCTTAATTCATTCTATAATTTATTATTTTTTCATCTCAATATTATTTTCTTCTTCTGTTTTATTTTTTATCTTCATATCTGTTGAGATATCAAAGATGCCCTCAAGCCAAAAGTCGTTCGTATCATTCATATGAACAACATACTTTTTTTTCCAGATTTTTTTGAATTGTTTTTTTTTTTTCGGTAAAAAAACAAAAAAAATTGCGCAGGGCCGGATTTTCCATATCTGGAATTCATCCGGAAAATTCATCCGGATTGAAAATTCCGGATAAATTTGGTCTGCCGGATATCTGGATTTGCTACCTACACCATTAGCCTTATATGTTAGCCCTAAGTGTAGCGAAGGGTTGGCCCATGTGGACTTGAACCGTAGCCCTTAGTTTAGCAGTCCTAGGGTCAGTCTTATAGGTTAGCCCTAAGCGTACCGAAGGGTTAGTCAACGTAGCCTAGGACTTTCTAGAAGTCGCTACTTGGCTATTCGGAGCTGTAGGAGTCAGTTGTCCGTAGCTGAGTCAGCAAGGTACAGTCTAGTCCTAGTCTAGTCAGCAGTCCCAGTCTCAGTCCCAGTCCACCTCGTCCAGTCAGCAAGTACCAGGTGGGACTGCCCAGTCCTTGGGCCTGGGACCGGAGGCAGGCCAGACCACCGACGAGACAGTACAAATAAAGAGGGAGCGCCAAGCCATTCATTCATTCGCCTGCGAGCCATGCAGAAGCGCTGCTTGTGCGACTTGTGCATCGGAGGTCTGCAGGAGCCTGACGACGAAGAGGGCTAGAGAGGAAGGCAGCGTCCATAGCCGCTAGAGGGAGGAGGAAGACGACGATGGCCATAGCGGCCAGGTTGCTGACATCAACAGATAGAGTGCAGAGTGTGTGTTTGTAGGGGCGTGGGCATTTCAGGGTGGATCCTAGTACGTACGTGTGTGAGTGAGAGTGTGTCTGATGATGGATACAGTGTTCGGTTGGGAATTCAGATAAGCGCTCAGCGGCCAGAGCCGCTAGATGTGACAAGCTGACTTAAGCTGAGTTCCTGGCCTAAGGCCATATTTCTGAGTTTTCTGTGTGGACGCAGTGCGCCATCGCAAGTTTGTTGCTGGTTCTGTGTTGACGAAGTTGTGTTGCCATCGGCACCTACATGTATGCATATTGCAAGTGAAACTGAAACAAGTCTGATTGCACCATGCTCTCCTCTCGACTCTACTCTACACTACTGTGCTGTACTCTATTCTAATCACTCAAGTCTTCTCTCTACGTTACACTACTCTCTAGACTACTCTATGCTTTCTTCTCTACGCCATGCTACTCTCTACTCTCTACTCAACTCTACACTAAATTCTCTACACTACCGTACTATCTATTGTGCCACTCTCTCTACTCTACTCTACCTACTATCTACTCTACTCTATGCTACTGTATGCTGTGCTCTTCATCACTCGACACTGAACTCTTCTCGGCCTTACTCTATACTAGCTACTTTACACTGCTCTCAACTCTCTTCTCTACTGTCTTCTCTCTACTCTACTGTACCGTGATGAGGTTGGCTTGAGTGTGTGTGTGGCCCGCAAGGGCACTTGCTCGTTCATTGGGCCCTCAGGGCCGGTACTTACCTGTGGCCGTGACATTGAGGGGTTGCAGCGGGAAAAACACTCAGCGGGTAGGCCGGTACCGCACCTTGACGAGGTAGATGTGCAGGGAAAGTGGCATTTTTAGATGCCCGGTAGTTGTAGGTTAGGTCTAGGCGGATACCAGTCCAACCAGTCTGGGTCTAGGGCCTGTACGGGCAATATCAGAGTCTGCAATGATGTTTCCCTCCGAAAGGGAGGAGGTACCGGTTGCTTGGAAGGCCGAGCGGCCTGGAAGTCACTGCCTGAAGAGGCAAGCAGGCCGCTATATCTCCCAGCCGGGCGAAGAGCCCGGCCTCATTCTCGGTGTGCAAGTTTGGCGACGCACTGGTTGGAGCAGCGCTATCCAGGAGCAGCGCTGCTGGGGAAGGAGAAGGACACGGAGGAGGAAGAAGGACAGGAAGGGGGAGGAGCGCGAGGGGTACTTACCTGGCTATGGTGGCAGCCATCTTCATCACCTTGGTGGGCGCTGCAGCAGGGAGTCCCACTGGGGAGAGCTACACCAAGAAGCTTCGAGGCAGGGGCGGGCATGGCGGCCTGAGCTAGAGCAGCCATAGCTGCTTTGGGTTGTCCTTTGGGCATCTGGGCAAGGCCGAGTAGTCCGCCATAGCCTCGGCCTATGAGAGTGAAGAGTGGGAGAGGCGGCCATGGCTATGGTGGACCTCAAGTGATACCCGCAGTAGAAGAGGGAATCGGACATTGATTCTGGATCAACCATTCAACATTGTATTATTATTTCTTGTATGAATAAGAGAAGGGGGAGATAAGGAGGAGGAGATTGTTGGGCGAAGAAGAAGAGCCTTGTCATTTGTCTATGCTGGTGTACATCATCTTCTTCTTCTTTCTTACTTCTTCTTCTTCTTCTAATCCTCTCTCTCCTCTCAAGTTCATTCAGTTCTTTCTGCAATTGGGCGGCATTGTATTATCTGATGGATGTGTATCTCGAAATTGGCCAGGATCATAACAGTACACTATATCTGCACTTAATACGCTCGCTACTCTAATCCAGTCTACTCTCCACTCTCTATTTACTCTCTACTCTATTCCACTCTAAGCTACTCTCTATTCTCTATTCCACTCTACTATACGCTCTACTCTTCTGTACCCTGTACTCTCTACTCTCAGCTACTCTCCGCTGTCTACTCTCTACTCTGTACTCTGCTGTACTCTCTACTCTACTCTATTATCTACTCTACGCTACTCTACTCCACTGTAGTCTACTCGGGCTATGTCTTTATTGGGGCATACAGGGGGATAATTCTTCGTTTCAAAGACCTAAAGGCTAAAACACCACTGTTTCTCATCTCTGATTGTTTTCAAACAATGGATCATAGTTGTTTTCTTTTTAACCTGCCAAGTGGCCAACCCCCCATTTTTTGGTTCCATTGTTCACAACTTCACATCCTATTGGAGATTTCGTACACACAAATGTAAATTTCATCAAAATCCCTTTGTAATGCGGGTGGAGCCGCGCTGGCTACTCTTGTTATTATGATTTATTGTTTGAATAAGAGGGGAGGAGAAAAGGAGGAGAGTGATTGACAAGAAGAAGGGAATTATCATTAGTCTTCGCTGGTGTACATCTTCTTTCTTCTTCTTCCTTTCTTCTTCTTCTTCTTCTTCTTCTTCTTCTTCTTCTTCTTCTTCTTCTTCTTCTTCTTCCTCCTCCTCCTCCTCCTCCTCCTCCTCCTCCTCCTCCTCCTCCATTTCTTTTTGCAATTGGACGGCATTGTACTTTCTCATGAATGTGTACTTCGAAATTGGCCAGGATCGTGACATATTAATCAATGAACGCCCACTTGCGTGCATGCATGGATGGATGGATGGATGGATGGGCTCTTGGTTTGTAGGTCGACAAGAGGCGACACAGATGGTCTCTACCCAAGATGGCACGATGTGTGCGCATTGCGTGCTCTACCCCAGTCGCGGTTTGTCTTCTTGCAGCTCTGCGATGTTAGCGACAGTACCATCCAGTCGGAAATCAAACAAAAACCGCAGCGGAAGACATGTGATGTGAGTATTTGCTACTGCTTTACGCAATCCTTCAATAGCATTTGAGCGCCAATCTTTTTAAAACTTCGATGAAGGTTATCTATCTATCTATCTATCTATCTATCTATCTATCTATCTATCTAATCTATCTAATTTATCTAATTTATCTAACCTATCTATCTATGTAGCGAGCCAGCCAGCGAGCCAGCCAGCCAGCCAGCCAGCCAGCCAGCGAGCTAGCCAGCCTGCCAGCCAGCCAGCGAGGTAGCCAGCTAGCCAGCCAGCCAGCCAGCCAGCCAGCGAGCTAGCCAGCTAGCTAGCAAGTGCAAAGTGCGCTCTTTTAGCACACAGATATGTGACAATGTATTTATATCAGCTTCCTGAGGAGTCAGTGAAACTCCAACGAAACAGTTTGCCACAGCCCCTCGTTTGCTGTCGTCTTCTCCCTTCCTCTCTGCCTACGGTTTACCGGGCAGTTCTGTTTTGCGATATATATATATATATATATATATATATATATATATATATATATACGATATATACTACGACTTCGCTAGCTTCCTGCTACGGTTTTCTCCGGTCAGGTCGAGCGGCAGTGGTCGGGGCCGTCACTACGCGGCCATGCTGTGCCTCTAGTGCCAGCGGCGTGTCTGGAGTGTATTTTTTGGCTGTG